TTTAAAAAAAATTTTCAGATTAATTTATCTTATTTATAGACACTGTATACTGACTGCACTGTTCCAAGGCTGTCACTACTGGCACCTACTTTCATCAGAAATGTTCCCAAAGTATTCACAGTGAGTCCAGTGGCAAACCGAATCAGGCAATCTTGCAATATCTTTACTATTTTTAGAATACACGACAAATGTAAGATATTATTCCCTGTAGTCAGCTCCTCAGAGACCAAAAATACTAACCTTGCAAAAAATAACCAAGGTGATTCAATAGCCAGCCAAGAATAGCTTAGTAACATTTTGTTGCTATTTTGTCAACTCACCACACCTCAAACTTACAAACACCATGTCATGAAAATAGGTAAAACTTCTTCCCATGAACATTAGTTAATTCCAGTTAATATGAAATGAATAAGTAATTTTTTTACTGGCCTCAAACAAGATGGGTCTTGGTATTAAATAGAACTTAACTGCCAAACAACATACCGCCCAGCCATCTCAAGTTATGGCAACTATCAGTCCACAGCAGCTTTTTTCTGAGCTGGCACATCTGCTTCAACTAGGCTTATGAGAACAACCATCTCACTTACATTAAAGAAAGAGCAAATATGGAAAATGAGCTACTTTGGAGGAAAGTGCTTTGAGGTAGACTTGCCTCAACCTTGTCCTTAAGGCTCCTCAAGAAAATAAAAGAGCTATTAAACAGAGTAAAAAAAATATAAATATAAAATAAATAAAAAATTGTGCAGTGACATTTTTAAAACACAGTTTTAAAAACTTAGAAGCCTTGAAGCTACTAAGTCAAGACAAAATAAGTATAAAATGCTTTATAACAGAACTTCCCACTGTGCCCTCACTGGCAAGTCCTTGCTTACTGGACTGATCCTAGACAATTAAGTGATTTCTTTGTTACAGCAAAAACTGCTCAACTGTCTCTGCTTCTTAGGAAGATCTCTCCATCACTGCAGAGATCCAGCTCTAAGTCTGTATCCTAATACTCAAACTACTATCTCCACATAAGGCTTCTACAGGACTCTGCACTCTCAGGTTGATGCCCAGATTAGTCAGCAGCTTCCCTGAGTTTAGTAACAGCCTGGGCAAGTAAAGGACTACCATCAGTAGAGATTATATTGGCTCAGAGACCATATAAGCAAACTGGAAATACACAAGTGCACATGAGCAGATGGGATGCACTTCAGGAAGCAGAGGCAGCTGACTGGTTTAACACAAAGGCCATAGTCTATCATCTTTGAAAGGTTGCATCCATCAAGGGAAATTCCTGATGACAGGAAACAGGCAAATATCACACCTTGTAGCAATTAGGCACAGACCTCCATGCCTCTCCACACACCTATCTTCAGTCTAATCTCAGTTCTCAATAAACTTATGAAAAAAAATGTCCAGGTGACCATGCCCAGGCCCATGGAGAACAAGAAGAAGATTGAGAATAGCTGGCAGGAATTTACCACAGACTGACAAACTTTACTGCCTTCTGTGATGCAGTGACAGGCTCGATGAACTAGGGATAGTTCATACATAGTCATAGCTTACCTTGACTTCAGGGGGGCTTCCAGCAAGGTTTCTTTAGTATCTTTATAGAGAAATTGGAAAGATATGTCTCAGACAGGTAGACTCTAAGGCAGGTAAAAAACTGATATGACTCTGAAGTTTAACAGTGAAAGTCTGCAGGTCAAGGGATGTGATTATTCCCCCTTTTTAGGACTTGTGATAGTGAGAGTATCTTGAGTGCTTCTTTTGGCTCTCCATCCCACCAGACTGGCTTACTGGAATGAGTTTAGTGGTGGTAAGAGGACTACAGAGCTGTATAGAAGGTCAAGAAGGGATCTAACTGCCATCTTCTACAATCTAAAGGAAAGGGAACAGAAAAGATTAAGCCAGACTCTTCTTGGAGTTGCACAATGAAAAGAGATAATGTATGAGAGCTGCAAATAGATATGAGGAATAGAGATGCAAATGGATATAAGGAAAAAAACTTTGAGGACAAACATTGGCATGGGCTGCTGAATCACTGCCTTTGGACCTATTAAAAATGTGACTGGACAACATCCTGAACAACCTGATCTAAGTTGGCCTTGCCTTGCTCTGTGATCTGGTCCACATGACTTCCAGAAGCAACTTCCAAGTTAAATGATTTCATCATGATTTGGTCTATGTTGGAAGCAGTACCAAAATTTACTTGCCTCAGACAGCTGCAAGAGGAATAAGTTAACTTCTTATACAAGTGAATTGTTGGATCCATACAATCTAATTAGTAACAAGAGTCCTCCAGTATCCTCTGGAATTCTTTGTCAGTTTGAAATCTATGCATAGCAAGTGTAGATGAAATCTATACTCCTAATTCTTTCCCATTTTCCTTTTGAAGAAATTTTAGCTCTCAGATATTGTTGGTCCTTGTGCTCTTACCCCTCCTCCACTGCATGTTTTTGAACAAGTCATATAGTGGATGACTTTTCCAGGAGAATACAACAGCATTATAGATTTTGTAATATGTACCATCATAGTAATAGTAAAAATTATATTAAAAAAAAGAATCCATTCTTTTGAGTATCACTGGAGGTACTTATGTGCTTTGACAGAAAAGGAATACTGTGATTTTCTTTTATTCTGCCTAAAGGTACTTTGAGAATAATTTTTATCCATCAAGCTGAGAAAAATCAAACAGCTAGGATTTCCAACACTTACTTTGGCTTCATTATCATGCTGCTATGAAACTGCACTATCTCTTACCATCATGTAAGTACAGCTGTTTGTTTGAATTCAGAATATGTTATTACATCTGATCCTTTGGTGGTGCCTGAGTAACAGTAATCTAGTAAAGCCTTAGGCACTGGTCTGGAAAAAGTAATTCGACAGCGAAAACAGGAAGTCTTGTCTTCTTTACAACAAGAAACAATCAAATGTTTCAGACACACAAACTTAACTACAACTATCTGAAAAAGTCTGTCATTTTTTAAAACTCTGATGTTGTGCTGGTTTGGTTCTGGCATAGTTTTGATAGGGGAGGGGCGGCCCCAGTTGTGGCTCAGGTAAAAAGCTGCTGAAAAGCTCCCCCAGCTCCAAAAAATGCGGCCACACTTCTGGCCAAGGCCCAGCCCGTGCGATTAACATATGAAAGAAGGGTACATTAACTGATATAAGACCTCAGGGCAGAGGACGGGGGGAGGTGAAGGGCAGAGGTGAGAGCAATGCCAGAGCAGAGGTACCAAGGTCGGTGAGAAAGGAGGGGGAGAGGTCCCCCTGCAGTCTGCGGTGAGAGGGCAGCTTGTCTCCCTGCGATCCATGAGCATGGTGGAGCATCCCACGAAGGACCAGGGTGGAGCACACGTGGACCTGCAGCCGTGAAGGACCTGCTGCTAGAGGAGGGGACTGCTGCCAAAGCAGCCTGTGACACTGTGGGAAGCCCACGCTGGAGCAGTCTGCTCCTGATGGACTGCACCTCCTGGGTTGGAGAGGTTTATGAAGGACTCTCCCATGAAAGTGACCCAGTGGGCAAAGAAGGGAAGGCTGTGAGGAATCCTTCTCCCTGATAAGGAAGGCGCCGCAGAAAACATGACGTGGTGACTCTGAATTCCATTCCCTGTTCCCTGTGCCGCTGGCGTGGAGAAGGTAGAGAAATCAGAAACAAAGTAATTTGGGCCTGCGAAGAAGGGAGGGCTGGGGTAAAGTACTTAAGCTCTGTTGTTTATCTTTTTGTCCTATTTGCAACTGAGTAGTGATAAACTAAATTTATATTTTTTCCTCAAATTGAGTCTGTTTTGCCCATCACCATAACTGGTGAGTGAATCCTCCCTGTCCTTGTCTTGACCCAAGAGCTTCCACTTTGTCCTCCGCATCCCACTGGGGGTATGTGTGTGTGCAGTGTGAGCAAGTGGCTGCGCGGGTCTTTGTTGTTGGCTAAGCCTAAACCATGACAGATGTAAAAGGAATTGTATGTTTTTTACTAACTGCATTTCCACAACTTAGAAGTTTCAATTGTATCATCTTTTTCTTTGCTTTTGGGATGATCTGAAGTATTGTGAAATAACTGAAACTAACACACTTCAAAAATGCTTAAAATTGTTGCAGAGCAAGATAAAAAACAACATGAAACGATCATTAAGCCAAGCAAAAGCTAGCATGTGTCATGGTCAGTCTGGAGCTGCCTTAGCTGCCTGAGCAGTCGACTGTTAAAAAGCAGCAGCTGGGTCCCACCTGCCTTTCTGTCCATGAAGTTCCCTGAAAGAGCTGAAGTAAACTTTGGCAATCCACGCCTCTCTCAAATCTGACTGATATGATTATCGTGTTCTAGGACTTCGGCAGACCGTCATTTAGACAGCTCAGCTACATACTGCTTGCCCCAGGGAAAGCCAGCTACTTCATGTTTTTCATTATGCAGAATTTACCTTTCAAGTAAAGTTTCCAACTTTCTATCAAAAATTAAAATAATCCACATTTGAAGGCAAATTTGCCTGTAGTGTGAATCCCCAAATAATTTTCAGGTTGCCTCCCCAGGAAAAACTGTTATATATGTACTGTCTCATAATGTTCTAAACTGGCAGAACACAGCACTCAGATAAGTAATAACTTACATTACAAGGACTTAATTCTGCTCATAGCTGTACCATGTACAACTCAACATAAATAGATGTTGTATGCAGACAGCCAGGGGCAAAATCTGGTGCAAAATATTTCAAAAGGATGAAAACATATTAGACTAAAAAAGCCTCCACATTTTACAAGAGAAGCAATGGAATAAAACCAGCTGTATCCATAACCACATAAAACATTCTGCATTAATGTCCCTAATTTCAGTAAGAATATTAGGAATATTGGCATAACAGAAATGCTAGAGGGCATCCGGGAGTGAATGACCCACATACTGTAATTAAAACCAGTAATAAATAAGCCACTGGAATGGAAGAAACACAAGGGGGTTATTAATTAAAAGGTATCATATTCTCAACATGCAAACTGACAGCCACAAGTTAAGCTAAAAGAATTACCTTCTTGGTTTTCAAACTGTTCTGACAACAGGTGGTAGCAGCAGCCTACACTGCAAACAGCTTTGATTTCAGGCTTGGCAGTAAAAATTCGTAGTGTATTTGCAGCAAGATCCCCACATGTATGTAGACCCACCATCATACAGTCCTAAGAAGAAAAAAAAAAAAAAGCAACAATAAAGCATCTCTCTGTTCAAATGAAAGGGCATGAATAACAACAAACTCCAAAACCCAAACATGCTGCAAATGGCTAGTGAGCTGTAAAGTTTAAACACACAACTCCATGACGACTCCTGCTGTTCTGTTCTAGAATTTTTAATGCATAATAAAAGCTCTTTGATGCTAAGAAAACATGGTACATCACCTCTGTGGAGAGTCAGACTGCTGATGGCTTTGTTTGGGTACAGAAGTATGTCTCTCTGTACTCTACCAGTCATGAGGAAGCAGAAGCTGAAGACTACAAATAGCAGCTGTTTTACCTGCATGGAAGGGAACACCTACATGGTGACTAGACCTGGGCCATTTTCTCTTGTCTTTTCTACCTTTCCCATCACTAGTATTACTACCACTGCTACTTCCTTTTCTCAAAGCCCTAATTGCTACAATCAAATCAATTTCCTAAAAATAGTTGTAATCTGAAGAGCAGGTCCTTCTCCACTTAGTTATTTCTGAAACTGTATTACTGCTGCAGTTTTGCAGTGTGCTTACTACTATTCAGCAATAACTGAGTATTTTATGCTATAGCACAATGTAAGAACTTCAGCTTCTGTCCATTCCAACCTCTTGCTTTCCTTTACCTTCCATTTCCTTTTTCTGTCTATTTCTCCATGAAATTATCTCTCTTCACCATCCATAACAAGATATTTCCCTTCATGCATTATAAGTTGGAACCCACATGGTAAACATGATGTTGCTTTGAACTTCAGTCTTATTTATTAACAAGGTTATCAACAAGAAATTAATCCAGAGGCATTCAACTGTGATACTTTTCTATAATAATTTTTATGTGCACATCTATTTTTGCTGCTCTATATTTGATTTTTTTCACACATCTGTGTTATATAGTAATGTATGCTTACAATAATAAACCCTGTCTTCCTGGTTTTTAATGCCCCTTGTCTCCTTTCACTTTGTGCTGCTTCTCTGTGCCTGCTTTCTCCTTGTCTCAGGATCCAAAATTTTTAGGTGGCAAACATTCAGCTTTAGTCCAGCCTAGTTTTTAAATGTTTTTCTCTACCAGTCAGCTTCAACTAAGTAATATACACAATAAATTCTCCTACGCCTTCAAAGTTAATTTGAAATTAAAAAAGACATTCTAGGAAAATTGAAATGGTAGTGCTTAAAATATTAATCTACCTGATAAATATAACTCTTTTAATAATAATTAGATGTTATCTGTAACCATAATTGTAAAATACACGAATGTGCCAATATGCATGCTGTTAACTTTGACAGTTGATTATTATCTACCCCATAAATTCTAAAGGTTGTTTTACATATTCAAAATAATTCCAAAATATATATTAAAATAGAAAAACAATCTGTACCTGCTAGACATAATTCTGCTGACTGGAAAACATAATTGGGCCAGAATGTTAATTTATACCACTGACAGCACTCTACATACACCCAGCAAACATCATGCACATATGAAAATGGCAATATAAAGACAACAGACAATCTACTTAAAGTATTATTAAAATTACCTCCAGATCTGTTATGATGTCACTGAGTTCTGTTTCTGCAGTGATGCAAGAGGTCAATGGGAAATACAGGTTTGATTCACTTGACTTGATTGCTTTAGCCTTGAGAGATGACATTTTTCTTTGTGCCTTTTGCTCTTCACAGAGTTCTGCACAGTTACACTGAGAAGAAAAAACTTCTACAGCATTCACAGGCAGAACATTTAGAATAGCAAGAACCTCTTCAGAAGGTTTGCTCTCCTCAGATTGTGTCCGATCTACCAAACCTACTTCAACTTGTTTACTGGTTTCAGATGTGGCTATTTCAGGGAAGCCACTAGAAGGAAGTGTGCCTTGGATAGTCACTTCGTTCTGACCTTGAAGACTGCTGTCATTATTTATGGGCTTTGCACTGATTGCTTTACATTTAATTTCACTTTCCTCTGGCCTCTCATTTGCCTTTTCCAGCCTCTGGTTTTTGAGGTTTGTTTTTCCTCGACTCTGATATGCTCTCCAGTGTTTCTTCAATTTTCTGTTCCGTTCAAGAGCACCATTAGTGTTGATGTTTGAGGAGTCAATTCCATAAACTTTTAAGTTATATTGCATGGACAAAAATGAACTCAGGTAGCCTTTTCCAGAACCTATATCAATCACCTAGATAATGAGAGAAAACCAAAATTGTTATATTAATGAGCAGCAAGACACACTTCAATTAAATGCAAAAATAATTCCCTAAAAATGTAAGCATGGATTTCATAATTACCTGACCAATTATCCCACCTAATACACCTTGATCATTTGCTTTGTTGATCCACATTCTGGCTTTAAAACACAGAATTAAGTCTTACTGATTTACTGCAGCAGACACTGTAGTGCTTATGCAATGAACATGTCCTGACTCTCTGGAAAAGATTTTCAGTGTATTTTTTGACCCAGAACTTCCTTCTGCTAGAGAAAATAACCATGAACAACCACCAATACTACCTTCTCCTCACTAAACTGGGTCAGGATATAGTCAGCAAAGAAAGTGTTCACAGTATGTAGATTTAGGCGTCTAGCTCCCATACTAAGGAGTATGTATACCACTAAGTATACAGGTATAAGCACCTTCAGACTGAGTACCTAACTTAATCACTTCAGATGCGACATAAATATAGGTGTTATTAAAACCTCTTTTATGTCAGAATGCTTATTTATACCACTTTCCCATTCTGTGCAAATGATCCATTCAGCTTTGACTAACATAAGAATGCTTTTGTAAGGAAACAAAGGGGCTCATATCTCATGTGCTTTCACTGCCTGTTCTGGAGGAAGGAGAGAAGAGAAGGGATAACTAGCTGACAGTTTTGTCTCATAGCTGAAAGACAGCATGTGCTGCTTCAGTAACTGATATAACACAGAAAGGAAAACCCTATGCAGAGTAGTAGCAGAAACAAGGGTTGAATTGGAGAACTTCAAGTACATAATCACAGCTTTATATTATGTGTGCTTAATTTTTAATAAATACATACATAAAACACAATATTTTGCAAGAATAGGCAGAATGCAATTTCTCCAAGGAAGAAAATGATAGTGCTCACTTCTGTTTAGGCATCTACCAAAAATCACATTTACTAGACATAATACTTATTTTTTGATGTTCCTAAAAGTGTCAGGCTCAAGAAAATATATTATTTGTTCTTGGTCTGTCACACATTCGTAAGAAAACTTACACTAATATTTGTCATTCCAAATAGCAGCATACACTACACGGATTCATCTAAAACTCAACTGCATAGTTTTTAACAGCTAAGAATACTCAGTAAGATTTCTTTCTTATTGTAAGAAAGTTAAAGATTTGTACAGCAATGAAATTAGAAAGAAAAATTTGTACCAGTGTTACTAAGAACTATGTAAACCAGTGTTGAATACACACTATAAGGTAAAAATTGTTCACGAGAGGCTGTACACATTGCTTTCTCATCTGTACTCTTTATGTGATACTGCTGCATATTTGCCATTTAGGTATGCCATAATCCTCAAATTTCTTTGAGGAAATATGCGCAGGAGTAGATTTAGTGAAACAGAATTGATACTATCTATGCACACTTTTTAAAATTTAATTTGTCACATTTATCACCAATATTCTGGTTTATTTAAAAGTGAAGGAAATAAGTGTGTCCAAGCAATAATTTTACCCACTATTTCATGTAGAAGATACTATTATTATGCAGAATAGACGTACCTCCACTTCTACAAGGTTTTAAATTATTACTGTGAGAGGCAGCATCTGGACACAGAATAAACTAGTGAATTATTTCTAACGCCTATGTGTGACCTCTAGTGGCTGTAAAGACAAACTGCTGTTTGGGTAAGGTTTTTTCAGTTGTTTCCAAAATAAAACAGTATTACATTGTTAAATTAGCACTGGGACAGTAGTTTTAAAATGAAAGGAAAATTTTACCAAAAATAAGCAGGCAATGGTCTCGTGCTAAGCAACTAGACTGCATTAAATTAATCCCTGCTTTACCCTCCCTTGATTACATAAGGAAAGGTAATCAGCAATCTATAGCGTATCTGCCAAGCATGAACTTCTGAAATGAAATTTCCATGATATAATGAACTCCAAAGGTCTTGTCCACAGTGAGCTGGGTACTGTGTTTAAACATAGTTTCTAGCATAGTGCAATCAAGAACTTCATTTCCAGAAGCATTCCAACATTTCTCAGCATCAGATCACAAATTTAATGGATGCTGAAGGTAGAATTTTATCATACATTACACGTTGCAACTCTTGCTGCACGTGCTGCAATTTCCAAGAAAACTTTCAAAAATACATTAAAGAAAATAAATGTGCATTTAAGCAAAGAAGAAACATCTCTGGCTTCTTTTCAGAGTTTAATCAAGCACTTCTTTATAAAATAAAGTTCCACTTGTATAATAGGAAAAATACTTAAAGGGGCAGTAAACACTTGGAAAAAACTCTTTAGTTTGCTTTAATGTTGCAATTCAAACAATTAACCTAGAAGTGATTACAATAAGTAATAAAATTGTTGCTTTTATTCTCATTTTACCATTTATTATACTACATTATAAAATACCACAAGAGATGGGTAAGGAAGTAAAATGGAGGGCATTTTTCAAGCTGTCAGTGATCCATAATATCTGTAAGAAACACCCTGAGGACGTGTGCTGTTGTAAAATGTGCTGTGCTTTTACAGCTCGAGTTTTTTTAATTAAATGCTGCACATATTTTGGTTTTTGAGAAAAACAGAAAAAAATCACTAAGGAAATAAACTCTCCTAAAATTTCACAATTCCTGTATTTTTTAAGTTGAAAGGTAACCAAAACAAAAGAAGTTGTTTTTAATAACTGAGAAGGTGTGCTTTTTTTTTTTTTTAAAAATGTAACTGTAAAGCTCTTTTCATATAGTAGGGATTTGTAACTTTGCACAAATAAATTTTGTTACAGTATATGACTAAAATGGAAAAAAGTTAATATAGAGCAGTCGGCATTTCATATTTGGTGATATACAGCAATCATATTTTTCATTAAATCTTACATTAAAAAAAAAACCCAACAACCAAAAACTAACAGAAAATAATCCTTTGTCTAAAGATACTCCAAGCCCCCTAATAAAAATGCATAATAACTGGGCAAAATTGCTGCATGTTGGTGGATATCTAATAATGACTGGTTTGAGATTTTATTAGTAACCAGCTACATTGGGACTTAGGTCAGGTCATTAAGGTGGCTCTACTCTTTTATACTCTTTGAATATGGCTTTTCCCTCCTTTTTATTCCTGAATCTCACAGGGACTATTTAAAATCTAAATGAAAATGCTATATGAAACACCACCTTCCAGCAATCTCAGGGAACATTTATTCTTGCATTATAAGCAAACTACAGTTTCTTACGGCTTTCTAAGCACATGAAAGTCTTCCACATTTTAAAAACTACTATTCACCTGAAGCAAAAGGTAAAAAAGGCAAAAAGACATGCTAATGATAGAAGAATTTACTTTCACATATCTGCTGCTACTGTATTTCTATTCTTCAGAGCATGACGACTATTGAGGGCACCCACACTTGTCACCATGGCTGACTCTTGAAAGGGCTGCTGGAGATCGCCTTCCATCAATGTAAGCGATTGCAGATGCTCATAAATTGACTGTGTCTCATCCAGCAATATTTGGCCTTAATTGGAGCTCTCTATTTACTTGCTAATCCCTGTTGTAAGGAGAACACTGCCTGAAATTTTGTCTTCATCAGTTGCTCCTCACAGAACAGATGGTCAGAAATCAATATTTTGATCTCTGTTCTCAAGGATGCCACAGGCCTGACCCAAGCCTATCGAGAGTACTGCATCATTTATATTATCTAAATTAAACTCCATCTGAGCCAAATAACTTCCAATTTAAAGTTCAGCTCCAGAAACTCAGGGCTGAATCCAAGTTTTGGGGCCTGCCTTTCAGTCTATGGTGGCAGCAGCAGCAACTTGGGACACAGCAGTTATATCTCTACCACTAAACTGAACCAAAAACAGACATGCACTCTACCTCCAGGGCATGACCAGTCACACCATTAATTTTTTAGCACCCCCTCTGGCACAGGTATGAAGCAGGCCAACTAGCACTCTTCCACTGCAAAGGCCAGGTACAATCTGGGGGAGAAAACATATCATAAACCATCTAATATGTACTTAGTCTACCCATTTGCAGCTGTCTCTTCTCCCTTATCTGTGTCCAGCTCAGAGGGCTGGAGCACCTCTCCTATGAACACAGAGTGAGAGAGTTGGGGCTGTTCAGCCTGGAGAAGAGAAGGCTCCAGGGAGACCTTATAGCAGCCTTACAGTACCTGAAAGGGTAGGAAAGCTGGAGAGGGACTTTTTACAAGGGCATGTAGTGAGAGTACAAGGGGTAATGGTTTTAAACTGCAAGAAGGTATTTTAAGGTTAGATATTAGGAAGAAATATTCACTATGAGGGTGGTGAAACAAAGGAAGGGGTTGCCTAGGGAGGCTGTCGATGCCCTCTCCTTCAAGGGCAGGTTGGATGGGGCTGGTCTAGTGAGAGCTGTCCCACTGGCAGGGGGGTTGGAACTGGATGATCTTTAAAGTCCCTTCCTTAAACAATTCTATGATTAATTTTAAACTACACTCAGACATACTTAGGGAAAAACAAAGGCTCAGAGGGAGTATGTTTAGAATAAAATCTGGGCAGATACCTATCAATCTTTGGTTTTAAACAAATATACTTTGATGTCCACAAATCTTCATGTGAATGAGTATTAGGCTGGAGGAAACCAGTCTCCATTTATACTTATGGCCCCTTACATAGAAAGCAAGTGCAGCTCAGATGTAGAAAGAAATCAAATGCAGCATCCAGAGGTACTAATCATCTAGTTTAAAGTGAGGATGAAGCTACATTAGCCAGTTACTAGCATTACAGAAATTAAAATTATTAACACATCTTAGTTCACCCAGATACTTAAAAACTTAAGTCTTACCACAACAAAGATCTAAGCCATGAAATCTAACAGTAAGTTTAACATTGTAAAAGCTTACAGAAAATTATGTATATGTAAAACAAAGAAATGGTATTGATGTTACTTTTGTCAACCAGAATGTGAAATATGGTACTGAAAAAAGTATTGTTGTGATGCTTGTGCTTTGTCAACAGAATCATAAGTAAATACCTATGAGGTTTTAATGCAAAAGCAATTGTGTGCACTGTGCAATCTTAATAGCATGTAAAAAAGTAAAGGTAAGTCACAATCACATTTTGTGAAAGAAATCCTGCAATTCTTCAACATTGACGATGGACTTGCCATGTGATATATTAAATACTCAACCTGTAATCACGGGGTAATTATAGTGCTAGGTGCCTGGATCCCACACATGTTCTACCAAATGTACTTCATGCCTATTCTGTGACATAAACCTCTGCTTAATCAGGTCTCTCTTCAAACTTAAAAAGTTGTAACTAAATTCCTCATTGAAGATCTCAATCCATTTTTAAGAAAGGTGAACAACATTAAAAAACAGGAAACATTTTAAATCCGTTGTGGCAGAATAAGAATTCATGTTTTCAAAATTTCTCAGATTTTCTCCTTTGGTCTCTAGGTACTCCTTGACAGAAGGAAAATAATTAAGTTTTGCTCTCCTACTGACACCTATGGTGAATTGCCAGAAACACAATACTGATGAACAAGGCAGTACTCATGCATGGCAAAAAGCAGCACAATTTTTAGCTGTTCAACACAGAAGATTATTATAATTTCTTAAAATTTTTAATGAGTCATAAAAAGATTATGACTCTCAGAAAGGCAGCTCCTTTGGAATGATAAATGTATAAACAACATTGTCCTTCACCTTGGCCATAAAGACTATTCTTTAGCTACAATTATTTACAGGAAAAATAAGAACAGCAGTGAGAGAATACGAAAATGCAGTACTTGAACACAATGAGAATAATTTGGAAAGCACACCGTAACATAAAGTAAGAATTGTTTTCTTACCTGCTTTATACCAAAATTATTTGCTAGTTTGTCTACCAGCTCTGACATCACCTGCACTTCATGAGATTTCTTACTATTCATAAACTCATCGGTTTTGATACCTGTATCAGATTCAGAGAATAAATACACATTAATCCATAATAATAAAGATTTGCAATCAATCAGGAAAAAATATGCTATGGTATTTTTATATTTTAAGGATATTTATATTTAATTTAAAATTAACTGAATTATTACCAGACTAAGGTTCTGAATTACAGATGAATTAGTGAAATTCAACATACTAGAAAACTTAGTACTTTGGTGTAGTGTTTTTTAAGATGTAGTATATCTAATACCTGACCAGATATTAGACGATAGCTACTACTATAAAACTGTACTATTTCTTCTTATTTGGGTGTCATTTATCACATTCACCTTCATATATATGAAATACAAGGGCAGGGGAAATTAATAATCACACAGTACAACTTGCTAATTCTGCAGATTTGCTCACAATATCAAGTGGGAGAGATCTCAAAAGTTATGAATGATGCTGGGGAACTTCAAAGGAAGATGCAACTTAATTTCTTTATTTACCCTATGTATGGGTTATAGAACTGTTACATCTTTCTGGTAGAAAACCCCTCATTTCCTTGTTGCCATGGTAATGAGATGGAGTCAGTCTCTACCACAGCTTAACTGCTTATGGAGAATACCAAACACCCACTTGCTAATCTCTACATCCTACAACCCAAGGAGGAGCTCAGAAGTTGCTCCTTTGGGAGACACCTCACATTTCCCTTAGGCCATCAACTCTTACACTTTTATAAGTCTGAGTGAAGGTAGGAGAAACTGGGCTGTTTCTAATGAGCAGGCTCCCGAAAAACAAGACATTTCTACATGGCTAGACATATTAATATATTTTCCCATTCTCTGCTTTTTGCGAAGTATGTGTTCATGTGTCTAGAAACTGATCATTAGGCAAAAACTAAGCTTATTCTTTGATCAGATCATGCTGGGAACGGAGCCAAGAGTGTTACTTCTTTAAAAGCCAGTGGGGAATTGAACTGAGCTCATGAGAAACCTAGTGTTTTCTCCGGTTTTCCCCAAACCCACAGCATATGATTTTTACAACAAATGGTTATGACAATAATTACAATCTAATATAGACTTTATAAACTAAAAAAAGGAAAAATAGACCGAAATGCTTTTAAACAAAACAAACTGCAGATACAAGTGCTTGTCATTTCACCAAAGATCCTCCTTACCTTTAAAATTGTGAAAACCTACTTGGTGTCTTAAAAAACCCTTGTAAACATTTCAAATGAAAAAAAAAACCAAAACAAAACAGAAAGAATTTTATTTTTTTTAAGTCTCTTGTTTATACTCAAACATTTTTGTGTCTGGATAGGCTCATCAAACAAAGCAGAAGAATGGGAACAGGAAGAAACAGACATTTAACTTCTTGACAGAAAGAAAAGTTGTTTGACTTCTGCAAAGTAGTACTGTCACTCTGAACTATCACCACATCTTGCACCTTTTACACTTTGCTATAATAAGAAGTCAAAAGACTGAATAGGGTAATGCTGTGAGATGTACCATTTCAGAGAGTTCTTCAGCCAAATTAAGTACTTCAAACATGGAAGAAATCCAGAAACAAGACCCCACTTATAAAAGCTGATGTTCCAGGTAAAAAAAAAAAAATCATAGTTTGCTTATACCTACATATATAAAGTATTTCTCACCTTAGTTACTAATGTTTCTCAAATATTTTAGACCTCTTTTCCTCTTTTTGCAGAATGAACATTCTACTTATATTTCAGCTTGTGAAAAATTATGTTGTTTACAGAATATTATGGATTTTAAAGAAATTTTACTGGAAGAAACCTGATGGTGCAGTAAGGAGACCTTTGTTAGGAAACAATGGAGAGAACCTTGAGACTCAGAACTCCATTCTAAATAGGTGTGTCCAAAATATGCTTAATATGTTTGTGCTATCCAAGGAAGGATAGCAATATGCCTACATTAAGATGGTGAAGAAGTTAGAGAACTGTGCAAGTATGCAGACTGTGGGAATAACTTCATAAGTATGTTTGTCTTAGAACAAAATAACTGTTTTAAAGACATCTGAAACATAATTATCCTGATACATTATTTTCAGAATAGCCATTGTAAAGGTGCCCATTTTCTGACACTTAAATTTCTCGTGACTTGCAAGCTTTAGCATGTCAGGAAATGAATATATTTTCTGAAATACAGAATTAAGTAAAAAATACCTGTAATAGCTTAAAATTAAAAGATCACACCTTTCATTTGGTGACTTGCACATCCATAATTTGGTATTTTGCTTCTGCCAAATTACTAGGAATTTCAATTAAGCTAATTTAACTAGTACTTACTGCCAATTCAACAGAAAGGTTTTGAATTCTAATACCATACATTTGGAACATGCTTTATTTTTCCTATGACATATATTTTAGAATTACTGCATCACAACCCCAGGCCCCAGTTACCAAACTGAGCAGCACTCCTGCAAGACAGAGTAAAATACTCAGCAACTGTCTTACCCTGAGGCTCCATTCTGCATGACAAGAAGATGAAAGAAACCCTGTAGTTTTGTCTAAGAAAGGTAATCCAGGTATGAACAAAAGCATAACAAGGTAGAACTACACAATTCCAGAAAATTAAGCAGAACACAGGGAATGTAAACATCATAGCAATGAATAGACCTAAAAAGCAAGCAGAAGAAAAGCAGCATACAGTTGTCAAATGAGAAAAGGGCTTCAGATTAACTAAGAGCAGAAGGAAAGAAGCCAGAAAGTAAGATCAATGCACAACAAATCATCTTAGCCATGGCATTTTAGTAATTCTGAAGAAATGAGAAACTGGGGAGTCAACCCTGGAAAATGGCAAAATTGGAAGGAGAAGATTGCTGTAGAAAATGGGAGAAATGCTCAACATACATAATGGTGCTATCACTTAGGATAAGAAATGTCAGTTTTAATGTATTATAGAGATAAAACACACTAGAAAGCAAAAGCTGCTCAGTCTGTCTGTGAGAAATCTGAATGATGGTGACAAATCCATGACTGAGGACTCCATAAAGAGCATATTTTCAGTAGAAATGACAGCAGTCCAAGTAAGTTTAAATGCCAGTTTATCATCTAACAGAAGAAATATAATCAGGGGTAAGATTTTCAGTGTCAAACTTGATGCCAACTTGACTGTTTAAATTCAATTTCTTTAACTGCAGAAAATGGAGTTACTCTAGTTTTATGACACATATTTGGTATTGGTCCAAAACATACAGAATGAATAAAATAATAAATTTGTTATTTTTTTTTAGACATCAAACACTTATTGGGCCATATGCAACTAAAAGCAAAAGCACATATTTAATATTAAACAATAAATGTAACAAAAAAAACCATACTTGTAATATTTGTTTTCTTCTAAAAAAAAAAAGGAAGAATAGCAACCATGAGTCCTGCCATTGAAGAAGAAAAGTAAAGGGCATTTACAAACATCTCAAATACTGATGTGCCTGCTTACCAATCCCATCCCCTTTAAAACTGTATCTTTGGAAAGGTCTATAGTACTAAATGCTATGACCTGTCTGCTCAAATTTTAGCATGATAATAGATTTTCTAAACAAAGGGAATGAAGAAACAGTCTAGGAAGAAATTAAAATCAAAGTGAGAAGCATGCAGGAAAAAAGCCCACCAAACTGCCCCCAAACCAAACTCTGCAGGTCCTATAGTGAATAAATAAAAATTTAAAGACAAATGTAAATATACCTGTTGTTCCTTGACTGTCACCTTTCAGTGCTTCAAGTAGATCTTCTAATGGGGTACACACTCCAAGGCTGGACAAAGTATAATACTTAGCAGCCAGGGCAAACAAATGCACATTGATTAGCTTCTTAGAGTTTTCACAAAACACATCAGAAAATGTGTCATCATCTGTACAAAAAAGAAAAATAAAGGATTTCTGTAAAAAGTGCTTAACATCTCTATATTAGAGCTTAGAGAAACCTACAGGCAATTAATATGTAGCATCAGAAAGAAGTAACTATTTATTTTGCTTCTATAAGTGGGAAAACTCAGTTTTCCTTCAGCTGTACTCCTCATTCAGAAGCTTTTACTCCTAGCTGAACTAGGGTGATGTGGAAAAATCTATTAGTTTAACAGAGCTACTTTAGTATAATTGACAAGAGAATTCAGTCAGCATTATCACTTCTTTGTTTAGAAACTTATTCATTATACATTTCCTAGTCACCTCTATCTGACAATTTACACTACTGCATTTTTTAGAAAATGCAGCAGATTAATATATTAAATGTTTTGATTTACAATCACTATACTAATGTATTTTCCTGGCTGCCTTGTAGCTGGTTAATCTGCTGGGAGAAATGAATTAATTTTTATTACCAATCAAGTGTGAGCCAAAGTTAGATTTCACAGCATATTTTGTTTGACTCAGGATTAAATACTTCAGTTTGGTATTAGTTCTTTAGAAAATATTACCTTTTCAAAATGTACATTTATTTTAAAGTGAAATGTATTGCTATGAATGAATTACTAAACATTTTGTATTTTCTAATTCCTCTCCATCTTGGCTAAAACTATTCTATAGTTTTGCTAATAATTTTTAGATTTCTAAATACTTGTAATTCTTTTAACATATATAAAAGCTAACATGTCTAGCAAACAAACTGTTACTAAGATTTGGAAAATAGCTCCTGTGTTGCCTTTTCTCATGTGTAGATATTGCACAAGTACCCACCTAGCATGGCAGCTTTCCTGAATCTGACCTAACCACCTGCATGTCAATTTAAACAGCTGTTTTTATTGATCTCACCTCTACTGCAAATAATTTTATAGCATGACCACAATTACTGGTCATGCATATATTACAATTTATTGAAAACGGTCCCAACTGTGTTGACACATTAATTTTCATGGTGTTAAGCTACCAAGGCATGAGTCCTACAAACACACTTCGAACTTCAGAAGGAATAAATGGTGCCTAAGTTATGACCAGAATTTTATTTCAGTGTCTGTGTGTTGGTGCTTAATCTGCTTCTCAATAGTACCAAATCTGAAAAGAAAGCCACCTTTCTCCATAAATGACTTCCTTGTTTGAACTTCAGAACATCCAGTAACTTTTAGTTAATGAAGAATAAGGGTGTAACATTATAGTAGAGAACAGAAATAAAGAGAAACACTAAACCAGAATGAAAACAGCAGAGTTTTTAGAGAAGGGGTAATTTTGCTTTCCAGTGTCTCTGTTACATAAAGAAAAGAAATGAGATATGTGCATTTTGAAATGATTGAAGAAAAATCCGCTTCCTTCCTGACAATAACTTCAAATCAAGTAAATAATGAAAAAAACTGATATAACTGGATAAGATAATCAAACACTTTTAGACAATGTAAAGACTTGTCTTTTTTATTCTGCTTAAAAAAAAATAATTCAACAATCATAAAAGGAGGTGAATATCTACACACAAACTATTTTTGTTTTCTGCTGAGTAATGTTATGCAAGGAGCTCTTACAAGAAACTGTTACAGCTTGAGTCATTGCTGATGAAGAAAATTTCAGTTTATTTTTAAGAAAGGTTCACTCATTGAACTTATTTTAAATTTTCTGGGAATTAACAGCATTGCAAAATATGCACAGACATTCACAAAATTAATGTAGTCTTAATCAGTAAAAATGCATAGTAATCTTAGGTTTGATGCAGTGGGAATAAATCACTAATTTGTCAAGAAAGAGAACAAGGTTTATGAGACAAGTAATTACATGCCAACAATTATTGAAAAAGACCTAGACATGAGACATTAAGTCAAAAGATGCACAGGGATATTTTGACCAGCCAAGCTATTCAGCATTTTTTCCAGGTGAAGACAAAATCTAATTTTCTTGATGAGAAGTGGGTTTGTTTCATGCATATTATGACCTCTTTGTAGTATTTAGCGTAACACACTGCAGAAAAGTCCAGCCTTTTCTAATACATATTTATGTTGTTCTTAATCTCCAAATTTTATTTCATTGGCAACAAGTATGGTTGGGCTTTTTTTTTTCATTTTAGAAAACTGAAGCACATAACACTGAATCGTATACTCTTTTCAGCCACTGGCATACATTTTTAAATATATTGGCTAATGTATGTCAAGTAAAAAACTTTCCCCCAAAATGCACTTCTTCATAACATTATATGAAATAAAGCAGATTTGAAAAGACATAGGAATGTCATCCTGTTACAAAATATTTCTTTAACATATGTGAGATACATAAGAAACATCTGAATAAAATAATATTTTTGTAATTTTTATTTTCATACATGTACATTACATATCTACTAAATGTATTTTGGTTTATAAGCAGTATTTTTTTTTAAATGTCTGGCTCGATATGGGGTGTTTTTAATTGATCTTTGTATTTTGAATATACCGAACTGTATCACTAGTGGAAAAAATATGCTTTCCATCATTATAGTAGCATCAGATACTTGGGGGTGGAAGAAGAAATACAGCCATTCTACAAACTATATACCTCATTGCCAACTCTCACCTAATGGTCACTGTGGAAATGAACATCATGTGAATTACATACAAAAACTTGCTAAGAGTACAAAAAGAAAATTATCATGAACCACATACATACCCCTCTCATACCACCCTAGCCTACCACTGATATGAAAAATCATTAAACTACACCCTTAAGGAACTCTGTTCTTATTTTTCCTATCTAACTTTCAAGTAGCTCACCAAGATCAACAGCATAAGCAAATACTGAGCAGATATAAGAAATACCAAGTGAAACAAAGTCTTGTCATGCTAAGAAGTATAACATCTCTGCAGCCCACACAACCAGAATCTCCCCATGCCAACAGGGGTATCAAAACCATGGACCCCCTGCTGCTCATTCCAGACCTCAAACTGTTTTTTTCTGATTCCTCAAATTTCTCTCATGGAAATTACGTAAGTGAAAACAAATGTCAAAATGCATCAGAACAAATTCAGACCATCAATTAAGAAAAATGTGTCAGTGAAATAAACTATTTCACAGAACCAAAACCAGCCTCTCAGTTTGGAGTTTAAAGGAAGCCAATTACATTTCTTTGGGATATGAGAAGGAACACTAGTATTTAGAACTGGGTATTAAAACTGTGCAATCAGTAAATTGATTTTATGGTGTAAAGGAAAACATCTATTGAGCCCACAATACTTAGCAACCCAATCTTCCTCTCACTCTAGTTCCTCCGGATCTTACATTATTGCCGAATACAACTTACCTTGAAACTTTCTAACTTTCCTAGGTTTCCTAGGAATGATAATTGAAATTTGGAGTTTTCTGCTTTTGTCAGAACCTATGAAAAGACTGTAAGCCCAAAGCATGCCTGCTTCCACTTTTTAAGCACATGACACAATAAATTATATTAATGCACTTTACAAATCTCATTTAATTGAAATTAAGTGCAGTTATACGCCATTGTGTAACAACCCTGAATTTGGTTACCTGATGGAAGAACTTGAACAGAACTAGTAGCATCTCATACAAGATCACTCATATATTGTCTGTAATAACATTCCTACCTAATTTAAATTGTTTTCTCAGCTTGCCTGCTAAAAGAAAAAACCCAACATGAAGGTATGAAAGAAAACCCAACATGACTTCAAACTATGGCATGATAGTTGTCTAACTATATGTTATTTATGAGTATAAAAATGTTAGTTTACTCAAAATGGTTCTACTTCAGCTGCTCACAAGATGAAATCTACTGTGTCTTTTAAGCAATCAGTCCATACGCTTACACATAAATTTCAGAGCAAAGAAACATATGCCAAAAATTAGAATTATATTACAAACAGTATTTTACAGTAAAATATGAAAATACTTAAACACAGATTTTTCTGTGTCTGTGTCCAATTTACAGCAATGACATGTGATAAAGAAGATGCAATATGGCAAATGTCAGCTTTTTGAAGTATAAAAATATAAAACAGTTTTCTGTATCTTAAAATGGATCTGAAACTTTTCTGTAGGATACAACTGAAAGCAAGGGTTCCACGCTTTATGTCATCATTAAAATAAAATAACATCTGACAAATATCTGAAAATATTCTCTGAAACTGATTTACAGACCATGTAATGTAATGTTCTGTAACGTGATTATCTTCTTGCATATAATACTGTTCAACAGAATTCTAATTTCTTGCTTGCTAGCTTCTAAAACTACAATTCAGCATAGGTATTTGTCAAAATCCCTATAGTAACATAAAATATTGTGGAGAGTAATAGTTTTGTGCCAATCTGCAATAATGTTACTTTTTAGTTTGCAGAGCTATGTGAGTACAAACTAACAACTTCACATTTTTAGACCAATTCTGTCAAATGTAGATCATGTTTCCCTGTAATTTAATTTGGGATCTGTATTAGAACAGATTCTAGAAACCTCTTCATACTGGTTTGGGGATTATGAATGTATAAATGTAAAACCTCTCACACTCTTAAGAAGCAAAGGTTTTACCATGTGAAATAAAAATGTCATTTTACACATACTTTGAGTAAGGTATTTGGGGTACGTGACCACGATGTCATTTGAACATGCAAAATAAATCTATTCTCATAGCCACACTCAAAGAAAAAAGTAGTTCTATGACTGATAGCATGTTTGGAGAGTCTCTTAGTACCCATTTCAGGGTAAATAACTAACATTTAAATATCTGATAATTTTGAAGAACTACCACATATACAGTTAATATTTTAGATGAATATAAGGAAGAGTAACTTCTGTTTATATGGGGTTTCTCATCTCTAATGTTATTCAGTAGTACTAATGCTCTCAAATGAGCGATGATACTGTTTCCCAGCCCTAATTTTAATATAGGCTAACTGCATTCATTTTCAAATATTGGTAGATGTTAGCAGGTATCTTTGCTGGAAAACTCTTATTCTACTATGATGCATTTTCATCATATGACTGGATGGACAGATACCATGCAGCCAAACAAATCAGGCATGAAGGACCAGATCAGCAAGCACATGCCTATTCTGCAACAGTGCCTCCAATTTTGTCATAATACTGAAGAAATTTTGAGACTGTCTCAAAACTTTCCAAATGTTAATAACTCATTATAATGTTGTGGCTAGAAAAAAAGGGCAATTCTTTTTTTAATGAGCGTAAGTAATCCCTATAGAAAACCGATGAAGAACTGTTATGTTTTAGCCACAGCATGAAAGCTTCATACCTCTCCAAGACATGTGCTTCATTTTAGCCATAAATTGTGTCTTCTGTAACACGCAATTTGAATATACATCATTAAATGATTTTCCAATTTTTAAATCTACCAAATAATATTATGCCTTCCTGGTTCTCCTACTCTACAGGTTACCACTTCAGTGCCTGAATCATTTCCTGGGCTTTCTCATAGAAATGGTAAGATCAGAGTAATTTTCCTTTAGTGTTTTCTTTTTGATGGCTTCATCTAATAATTAGCCTCTATTTTATGTCATGTTGTTCTGAACCAGCTCTGACTCTGACATCATCTGTCAAAAACATTAGAAGTTTTTCCTCACTGCTTCCCAACACTTGCTTGCAGGCTGGACCACTGTCTTGCTTCCATCTGGCTCCTGAAGTTAATTCATAATCCAGTGTCTTTTTCACGCACAAATTCTGTGGCTTTTTTTCCCCCCGCAGATACTTCAACCCTTTAAAAATGAGTCTTGCAGCTAATATTTTTGAAGCCTTTAGATCCAAGAAAGAAATGTTACAAGTGATGTAGCAATTCACAGCTCTTCAATCTTTTTTCAAATCCAAATAATTATCTTAGCTTGTCTTCTATGCCAAAAAGTGCAGAGCTCCACATGCTCGCTTCTGTGGGCCCTTCCATTACACACTGTGTTTTCCCATCTCATGTCAAGTAGCATTTCAGAGCTAATCCTACACCAGGGCCATCTACACTATCTACACTCCACAAGCTTCAGCTTGATGGAAGTTTCTCTCAGCTAAGTTCCTTGTCAAAGGTTTTACCTTAGTTTTGAAACAGATCTCTTTGCTGGGGCTCAGTCCCCCCGGATATTGTCCCTTTCAGATGCTTTATATTAATTTCTGTGCTCTGCCTGCAAGTGTCTGACCGGTACATTCTCTTTTACTCGGACTGCAGCAAATTCAGTAATACAGTTTCATAGCTGGCTTCCTCTCCAGCTACTTGAAAACTAGCAAAAATATGAAGTGCTTCTTAAACAGGTCTTGTCAGAAATGAAACTGCCTTCTGTTTTCCTTTGCCAGACACTCATTATTACAGACCTATAGGAAAGTGGCGTTTAAGCCTTTTCCCAGCTGCCCTCCACATTTCCAGAGTTTCAAAATGTGGAGGACTTTTAGCTGTTGCATCTTCCCATTCACGTGGAGGGTTTTGTTCGGATTTTTTCTTTTTTTAAAAAAATTATTAATTTTGTTTCTGTTCTTCAGAAATCAGTCAGAGCACAGGAGCCCGACAGAGGGATTTCGTTTAACTTCTAAGCGACCAGGATGATTTATAAAACGAGACCATCGCCACAGCCGTCAGCAGGGAGAGCCTCCTCAGGGGCAGTTCCTCCCAGCACGGCCGCCCTTCCCGCGAACCACGGCGGTTCCACGTCCGCCCTGTTGCCCTGGGAAAGAGGAACGCTCCCGGCGCACACGGGAGGCACGACACAGCGGGAGAGGCTTCAGCTGGAGGCAAAGTCACGGCACAGCCCCTCGGGGCGGCCGCAGGAACGCGGCGGGCAAAGGCGCGGGGAAAAGCGGCTGAGGAGAGCGGTGTGAAATTCTCCTGTTCTATTAAAGCAAGGAAAATAACTTTACAGGCAGAGAGGCCTCAGGCGCCAGAAACCAACCCGGCGGGGCGGGTGCCCAGGCGGGGCGGCGCGCGGCGGCGGCGCGGGAGCGCTCACCGGAGACAAAGGC